AAAGTGTGATCATCGGCCAATCCTTCAACAGTAGGAAAGCTTGCTTGGCCCTATTTTGGTTGTTCAAATTCACGAAATACACAATGGGAACAAGAAGGATACAATGGTTGGAAGATTCTTGGGAGGCTAGCAACTTGGAAGATTCTTAGAGCAAGTAGTAGGGTACTTATATAGGTGGTATATGACTTTCTTATATACGTGGTATATGACATTGAGCAGAAAGAGAATCCATCAAAAGATCGAATCTCAGAGGATCTTGTCTAAAGAACCGATTGAACCATGTTATGAAATCAAGAATGCCAACTACAAATGCTAGAGTATGGAATGCCCAAAATATTCAAAGACTTAGCAGGTGTGAGGTTGGGAGTTTTGCTGTCCAAAGTTCAGAGATGTGGGGGAGGGAAGACATCAATTGGGTATCCGAATTAAGTTTCAAACCTTGCAGGAGGGGTCCATTTGGGATGATGGTATTCTATGCTCTTAATGGTTCAAGGATCATGGATAACCTTTGGCAGGTTAATAATGGGTGAAGGCATCAAGCCACGGTGCATTGCCAGGTGACATATTTAAATTCATCTCTCTTTTGAGAAAGGGGCGGTAGTGTTACTCTGAGCAAGACTCACTTCTCCTAAGTCATAGGGAGACATGACTTGATTTACCTGTTTCTAGATGAAGCATTGTTCACCAGGTCCAGTATATAGGAAAGAAATTGGTGATGACTACACAGACATATTTTCTAAGTCCTCATGACTGGAAAAGCACAAGGGGTGAACCAAAGGGTCGCCAAACACACAAGGTACGACATCTTGATACTTGATACTTCTCACCCATTTGGCTAATAGGAGAGCAACTTCTCCCTTTCAGTGTTTCATATTGCACCTCAAACAAGTGGGAGGAGAATATGGATCATGCGGGCAGGCTTTAAAGCAACAAAGAAACAACAGTTGGTCAAGCATATAAGCATAGATGCTAGTAATAATAATAAAAAGATGAATAAACCAGCCTTTGGCAACAATAAAAAACAGGCTTGCTTTAGGTAACATCAGGTACAAGGGAATAAAATGTCGTTGATAGGAGAAAAGGCGATATAGTACTCTTCACAATTGAAAAGGTGAACCACACCTGGCCAAAAATGAAATAGGATTTTTTTATTTTTTGATATGAAGACTTAATTATGGAAAGAAGAGATCACGTGGCACCATAAAGTGCAAACAAGACAACTTAAGGGACACAAACACCATGCTCTTTCATACCCAAAGAATGGGAGGAGCAACTTAGATCCAACATATTATTATAATTTTTTTTGAAAATGTTAACTATTATATATTAATAAGGAAGTACAAGGGGAAAGAGAGAGAGAGAGAGAAAGAGAAGCTATCCACAGGCGAATAGCAGAGATACAAAGGAGGGAGAAGAGCGAGATAGAGAGAGGAAAGCGGAATACAAAGGCTTACTTTTTGAAGGTTACAAGATCCAACATATTATTCATGGTCAACTATGAGAAGGCAGAGACATGGAAGGCCATGGTTGACTTCTCCATGAGCTTCATCATTGGCTGTTCTTATTCCTTAATTTAGTTACAAGAACTTTGTGTAGGATCTACACAGGATAATCGTCTCATATCTTTTATTTCAAATCCTTTACATCTTCTGTCCCCCAAAAATTTTGGGTATGACAAGGCCTCATTAATCCTACTTATCTGATACAATTTGTGAAAAATTTAGTTCCCCTCTAAAATCTCCTAGAAATCTGGAAAGCATAAAGGCACCATTGGGATCCAAGGCATTATATCCTCCATTACAAAGATAAAAACCTATAACCACAAATACATTGGGAAATCTTCAAATATCTGATGGCATGGATGGGTTCTGCAAATCAATTGGGGGATAAGATAGTGCAGGCATCGTGTTTGCCTCTTTCTTGGACACACAAATAACTCCAGATAGACTTCAAGGCATGAGGCAAGGAGATCCCTCATCCCTATTTTTCCTCACAGCTAGTCAGTGCATCTACAGCAAGCCTCATTAAGGGTTTTGGCCGCCCCTTTAAGGAGATTTGTGATCCAAATTCAGTTTATAGTTTACACAATGATGTCTGGTATGAGTTATGCCAACAACTTCAAATGATCCTCAAATGTTATGAGGTGGTGGTTGGATTGATATAAATCTCACTAATGATGCAGTGCTAGGTATGGGGTGTGGGGTGTGAGGACCTGAATTGGAGAATAGTGCCACCACTTTGGATAAATTTATTGAGGCCTTCCCCAAAAATATACGATTTTTATTAGTACATAAAATTACAAAATTTCTTACTATTCCACAGTGTATCGGTGAGTCGAACAAATGCTTTAGGATCCAGTCAAGGTAAAGAATGAAAATAGCACAGATGCACGAATACAGCTTTGGAGAAATATGCATCCGATGCAGAATCGGCACCCATTTTGAAGTATGCATGTCATAGGGAAGTAGGTTAGCACCATAGAGGATGCAACTTTCATCTCTAGGAGGAAGGGTTACCATCTCCCTCCCCACTAACAGCAACTCTCAGAAATATCTCAGTATACTCTATTTCCCTATCTCAGATTCTAAGGGGAATGGCGCAAAAATTACAAAGAAGCCAAAGGGATTTATTGTGAAAGGACAGAGATGAGATAAAAAACTATGGCGAGAGGATATACCATCCTAACATCTAAGGTGGATTGGAGATGAAATGATAGAAGAGAACAAGGGGGGTTAGTAGAAAAATGGCATCATCAAAGGTCAGGGGAAGAAAAGGGCACTATCGTTGTAGGCAAAGTACAGAAGCACGAAGGAGTGGTAGGGAATTCGGGTGTCACTAAAACAAAATTGCTTTTCAGTGCTATGGAGAGGCATTTTCTTATATAAGGGCAGCAACCGATGTTTAGCGCAATTCCATATAGAGTTTCTAGCCTTTAAGGTGGTTGGTGAAAGCGTGTAACAGGGGTATGAGGGTTGGAGATCAATCTTTCTCCCAGTAGTTTATATCAGTTGCAATCTGAATCCCTGCCTAAGTTTTCTGACAAATGGTAATCCTGGACAATAAGGGCAACAGAATCTAGAGAACTTAAGATGAGCCTATGCAAAGCGCGGCTCCCCCAAAATGTCACAAAAAGTAATTACGATGGTTGATCCATATGCCACCACGTCTACTCCTTTAGCACAAAGACCTGCCCATGCTACTTTTGGAGCCACCACTAGTCCACCATAATTACAATTACAAGTAACTATAAAAAAACCACACAGGTACTGAAGAAAGGAAATTACAATAGAACAATTCCGCATCCTCACTAACCCAACAGTATCAACACAATCCTATAAGACCTCATAGCATCAACTCCACACAAAACATATACTTTGGGGTGAATACTATGTCTCAACTGGAGAAGACGAATGAAATAAGTAAGGTGTGTCATCTCAAAAAAAGAAGAAGAAGAAGCAAGGTGTGTGCCCGCTAAGTATAATATGATTTATCAGTACAAAAGGACACCACCCTATAACCAATCTAGTCATAAATAATCTAGCAATGACAAATAAATAAAAAACAGCAAAGCAGCACAAAAACTAGCACAAGCAAGAGACCAAATAAAAGAAACGCGCAAGCAGGAAAGCACCCATTACCCATAAGCATCCACATCATCTCTAGAGATTTTCATCTTCTTCGTGGTTCCCTTATAGAGCTCCTCCAAGCTACATGGCAAAGTCCTCTCAATTGGAGGAGGCTTTCTTGGGACATTTGTAGAAGCCTCACCGCCCCCACCACCACCTCCTCCTACTTGATCAAAAATAATGTCATCCGCAAATGGTCCTCTTGCAAACCTTGCACTGCCACGAGAACTGTCGTTCCCAAAAAACTCAGAGAAAATGTCATCTGCACTTCTTGGGAAGAACCTAAAAGTGGTTGGGCCACCTGCACCAGGTGGAGGGACTCCCTTGAGCCCTTCTTCTCCATATTGATCATAGATTACGCGCTTTTGGGGGTCACTCAAAACCTATGATATTGAGAAAACCAATTGAGAAAACGAACTTCTGAAACTGAGAAGAGAGTGCAGGAGGTCTTTCAAAATGCAAGAGGTCTGTCTATATGGGGAATGAAATTAGGAGGTCTCTCTATAGGGAATGAAATTTTGGAAAGGCAGAAAAATGGGGCACTTGGTTTTGCAATTACCTCATAGGCTTCAGAGATTTCCTTGAATTTGGCTTCTGCTTCCTTCTTGTTGTTGGGGTTCTTATCAGGATGCCATTTCATGGCGAGACTCCTGTAAGCTTTCTTCAAGTCTTCTTCCTTCGCATTCTTGTCCACCCGCAATGTCTTGTAGTAGTCCATCCCCATATCTCTCTTCTCTGAGAAACCGCAAATATGCAAGCAAATCTATCTATGCTTTCTCTCTCTACTGAGCAACGTGGAAGCACTTCGCTCCGGTAATTTGAGAAGAAAGGGAAAAAAATGATATTCCTTTCTCGGTGTTTAACCCTAGAAACTTATCTGAAACAAGAGATTTTTCTGGTGTGCGCAAAAGAAGATATTCAAACGGAGAAAACAGAGATATGTACAATAGGAAACTCATAGATTATTATGGAAAGGGTGATATATATCACATCTCATATGCTTCCCAAAATTAAAGCAAGGGAAATTTATCCGAAATAAGAGATTTTTCTGGTGTGCGCAAAAGAAGATATTCAAACCGAAAAAACAGAGATATGTACAATAGGAAACTCATAGATTATTATGGAAAGAGTGATATATATCACATCTCATATCCTTCCCAAAATTAAAGCAAGGATTAGCATGTGGGCTAGCCCTCTATACAGATGGGAAGAATTGGGACTTCTTTTTCTTTGAAGTATGGAGAACAAAGGAGTAAAAAATCTACGAGAGAAATAAGTGGTACAGTAGAATCAGTAGAGACCCATGAGAGTTGGAAATCTCGAAGCGCACAAATTTATTATTTTATTTATTTATTTTTATTTTTATTTTTATTTTGGAAACATTGTATAAGTCACTCGTAGGTAAGATGGTAAATCTCATGCCACAAAGTTCAAAAAAACAAATTCTACCTTAATCGAATAAATATGAGGCTTTTTTTTATTTATCAAAAAAAATAAAGATGAGGTTTTCATAAGACCCGGGATTTATAAAAACACAATAAAGCCTCACTTCAAGTTTTCATCCAAAAAACACTATCAACAACAAAAAGTCTTCATGATAGCTTTAAAATCAATTTCCAATAAAAATGATAAAATTTGAAACTCAAAAAAAAGATACAAACTTGTAGATACGTGAACACTTCTTTTTACAATTAAATGAATGGTCTAGATAATTTGTCACAGTATATACTATTTTAAAAACGTGAAATCCTAATTTTTTTCACAACCGTAACGTTCAAGCCGAGATGATCGGTGCAAAGGTTTTCCAATACTTGAATTGTAAATTTCGATGAGTTATGAGGTGAGGCTTTACTTATTTTGATAGGATTGCAACCTTATCAAATCATTTTCACATCCAACCGCCACGATTAATTATGACCACTTTGTAACAAAAAATGAATGGTCTTGTTATATATTTTCTTTTTATTTAAATATCTATGTGAAATCAACTATTTAACATTCTATTTATTGTTTTTTATTTAATTTGAAAATACCCGTGAAAGTAGAAAAAAGGAGATTTGTTGAACAAATTATGACATGTCATAGTTTCAAATAGGATCTACGATCTCAAGGTCATGATATGGGAAGATATTTATTTTTCTCTTTGAAAAAGGAGATAGAGATGAATCATTTGGTTGAGGAGATTATAGAATCACTTCAAGTATCTTTGTTTTAGGAGATTATAGAATCACTTCAAGTATCTTTTTACTCACGGAATCACGTAAGGGGTTTGTAGCTTTTACTGATGTTGGTTTAACCAAAGTATATGGGTTTAGGATGTTATTATTTTTCTGAAAGATATTTTATGGAAAGTTTAATATTTTGTTTTGAAATGTTTAAATATTTTTTGGAAAGCTAAATGTTTTGTTGTGAAAAGTTTAAATAATTTCTTGGTATATTTGATAATTTTCTGGTATGTATGTTTTGTTCTAGAATGTTTAAATAAGCTCTTGATACTGTATTTGATAACATATATATATTAACAATATAAATATATTATATAATAATATAATATAGAATATAATGTATTTTATATATATTTTTAATATGTATTTGTATTATATATAACATATAATATAATATAAAATATTTACATAATATATAATATAATAAATACATACCATATATAATATATAATATAATATAAGATATTTATATATTGTATATAATATTTTTTCCCATGAACATAATTTAAATCTTGAAGGTCCGAAGTTGTTCGAAACCTCAAACTCAATTCCAAACCTTCAATTTCCAAAATAGGCGCAATTTGGAAAAATAAAATAAAATAAAGGTATGCACATGAAAATGTACACTTGAGAGGGATTTTTTGAATATCTGTAATTTAGGGGATATTAGCGTAGTCAAGATATCCATTGCCTTTCATATTCCTTACTTTAAATTGAAAAACAAAATAAAAATAAAAATCTGTTAATTTAAAAATAAAATATTAAAAATTGCTATAATTTTTTTAAAAAAAATTAAAATTCGACAGTGAAATTCAAACTTAATCTTATGAATGCATGAAAATCTTATTTATTGTGATTCCAAGATGAGGGAGGCCTTTCGAAAGTGATTAAGATAATTCTGAAATAGTGACCATGTCACACCCCAAGTTTACTAACATTCTTGAGGTGCGACAGGCTATTCTTATACTATCTTTTATAGAACAAATTTAAAATTTCTACTTGTATATTCGTATTGTACCAAATAGTATAATTTTAATATATACAAAGTTTGCTCACAACTGGTATTAACATGAAGGGCTAGATCTATACTTGTATATTCATATTGCACCAAATAGTGTAATTTTAATATGTACAAAGTTTGCTCATAACTGTATTAACATGAAGAGCTAGATATATACATCTCTTGATAGAACAAAAATTACAATGGTGCGTTTGAGCCCAAAGTTACAAAAGGAAATATCAATCATGTCTACAAATTCTTCATACATTCGAACTATGAAACTGCAATTACCCTAAAAAAATATTTACTGTAGTTTGAGGAGTTTGACTACATAGTAGGTGATCATTATGATCCTAAAAAATAATCATGGTTGGAAAATATAAGTACTTGCAAAAGAGAGGTCTATTAAAAACAATGTGAGCAAAAGCATTTATGAATAACAATATCACTTTCACAAATGCACAGTTAAACATAATCCAAATGATTAAAATACATATAAATGTTTTAACATCAGTGCATCATTCAAAAGATTTCACAAAATACCCTACTGGCATCCCAAATAGGTCACCTATATGCCCCACCAGTGTCTTGAATGGGTCCAAATAATCAAATCATACCTCACCGACATACCAGATGAATCCAAATATCCCACCAATGTCTTGGATGGGCTCAAATAATCCCTGCATGTCCAATCATACCTCACTGACGTAACAGATGAGTCCAAATACCCCACCAGCTTTTTGGATAAGTCCAAATATCTCATTAGCGTCCTAGATGGGCCCAAATATACTTAAATAATATCTGAAACTCTTTTAACATCATAAAGCATCAATATCATATATACAAAATATCATTGAAATCATTAACCAAAATTAACTTGAAGCAATTTAAATAATCACTTTCATTGAAATATCTGTAAATAACCAGTCAAACATTTTGGCAATAATTTCTGAAAGATAGCTATTCTAAAAGGCATTCCTGAAATGTAACATGATAAACGGATTATATTATGAAAATCCAAAATTAAATACAGAATTATTACAATTTATGGAATGGCCAATTCACAAATAATCATTTCATAAGCAATACTACAATCAAGTACAGAAATATCAGTTTTTCAAATAATGAGGCAATCATTTGCACATAAATTTTACAATGTCTAAATATTTAGAACAGTAAAAAAAATCTCATAATTTTACTAAAAACGGAAATATAACATTTATTTCTAACAATACCATTAACATAATTTTTGAGTTCCCAAAATTCAGGGTATGTTATATACCAACTCTATCCACGCATGATGGATTCTTTGCTTTTCCTTTTCTGTTTTGGCCCTTTTCTGAATGATATTTATTATACATGACGTGGACTCTATTTTTAAAGGGGTAACATGTCACTCTTGTTCTTTATCCAATGGTTATGATTAAAGTAATCAATATAAACTTTGATTGCATGATTAAGATACACATCATGAGAAACTTACTATTTGTTGTGTCTATTAGATGTTATAAATAGGACACATCTTATGAATAGTTGAAAAAATCCAAGTGCTTCATCATGGCCAAAAATAGTTATATATATCTTATGAATAGTTGAAAAAATCCAAGTGCTTCATCATGGCAAAAAATAGTTTTATATATATATATATATATATTTTTTTTTTCAAATTAAATAATAATAAATTCCTTAAAAATTAGAGCATCACGCCAGTTAGCTAGTTTTCCTCTTAAATCAACAACTCTCCCCAAAGTTTATACATGGCTCCTTTCTTATATGCTTTTAGTTTCTCTTCTTCATCTCTTTTGGAGTTTGTCTCTCATCTTTTCCGGTCAAAAGTTACTTATGGACCCAGTTTCTACGTGGCTAAGCCTACATATGTAGAAATGCGGGCCTATAAATGTATCGTTTGGATGGATTTTTGGATTTAATTTTTAAAGATACGTAATCTCTAACATGGAGAACATGAATATGAAAAAATAAGTAAATTTTAAAAATTAAAAATAATAATTAAAGTAAGAAAACATTTGGACCGTTAGTTTCTATTGCTTTTAGATGGAACACCTACTTACATCCGTATTTAATATGGATGCTTTACAATTTTTGGACCACATATATAGTCACGCGGGCCAACCCACATGAAACAATTTGCCTTTACTTATTGGAAAAATGTAGTTTATGTGTCGGGGGATGTATATTTACATTTGCGTCTATCAAGGTAGAAACCATCTATCTATAAATAAAATAACGGTCCCTAAAAATCAATAACTCAAATATTTCATTTTAAAAATATCATTTTTAGGTTTATTTGGAAGGCTTTTAAATCTCTAAATAGATAGCATGGGCAAGCGTATGATATAATTGGTCAGTGACCTCCAAATTCTCCCTAGTGTGCTCAAGTTACCACACTAAAGCATGGTTGTTGCACTTTTTGAGTCCAAGCCTCTATAAAGTGTCACGAAAGGCGCTGTGAAGGCTTTTATACCAATTGATATCATTATTTCAAATCACCTTTTTAGGGGGTTTTTTTAACAAGATTAGGAAAAATTACATACAAACATGGTTTCGACGCTTATATTATAGAATGGGTCACATTTTTTCACAAAAATTACTCGGAGACGACCCTACCTTGTGGCTCCTTTTTCTTTTCTAGAATTGTCCATATGTCCGGCATTTTCAACACTGGATAGGTGGGAAATCATGCAAAGGTTATGATACTACTAATACCTAACATCCACATTGTTTGGTGTTTCTAATACTAAACAGTTCAACTTATAAAAAAAATTCCCTACTCAGAGCATGTATGATATTTGAAACACCCAATAGCCCTGTTGTTTGGTATTTCTAATATCAGACTGTAAGTTGTGTGATATTAGAAATACTGGATAAGTAATTATTATTATTATTTTAATTCTCACTATTTTTCTATTAGTATGTAATGAATTAATTTTATTCATTTCTTATTTTATTTATTGTTATTTATATTTAAATTATTTTATTTTTCAATAAAATATCTTGAATAGCATAATAGAATATTTTTTCTATTCTAAAATATTTAATTAGATTTTTAATTCTATTTTTAAAGTTTAGAATTAGAATAAAAAATTAACTGAACTAACTAACTAAGATACTAATAAAAAATTAAAAATAAAAAAATAAAAGATAGAGGAAAATCTATTGAAAAGATAGAGGAAAATCTATTGAAAAATAAAATACATTCAACTACAAATACTAATAAATAAAATAATAGATAAATAAATTTAATTAAATTACTTAAATTCTATCATATTAATTAATTAATAAGAATTAAAATAACAATGATTACTTATTTTAAGTTTAGTTTTTCTAATATCGAACAACGTAAGAAGTTGAGTTGTCTAGTAGTGATGGCCAAACACTCATGAGATTCCCCGGTGGGGGGGGGGGGTGTGATGTTCCGCATAATTTATGCAAAAACATGGCCTATTCTATAACAAAGGTGTTGAAATCTGATCCTCACATAAATTTTCAAAAATATAATAACGTGTTTTTTTTTTTCATGTAACATATGGTATGGTTATTAAATGAGATATTTATGTTAATGTCCTCTTAACCTCCTATTATAAAAATAGGAAAGCTTTCTATGTTCCCCCCGAAGTTCTATCCTCCCTCTTATCCAACCTTCCATTTTTTAATGGATGGCTAAGATTGCCCCAATCACAATGTCACGTCTCTATACTATTTTATTTTTAGTTTTTTTTTCTATAAACTATTTTGACACTAAATTTTGGATGTCCATTCCTTTATTAAACTTGCACTAATGAAAAATATAAAAAAAAATATTTTCAATAAAATAAAATGACCAAAATACCCCTGAAAGATTCAAAGGGTATTTTGGTCATTATGTTTTATCGAAAATTTATTGTTAATATTTTTAATAGGTGCGCCCCAATGAGAAGATGACACGTACGAAATTTCATATTTAGAAAATTTGTATTAAAAAAATAAAAATAAAATACTTTGAGATGTCGGATCTAAGATCAAACGGTGAGTGGCTCTCTTGATAAACAATGGATGGCTGGATGATAAGGAGAAGATAGAACTTCTATGTTGTAGGAAAACATAAAAAGCTTTCCTTATAAAAAGACCCTCTGATTTTTGTTTTTTTACATTTATATTTTTTTTTTTTCTTTTTTCTACCCCCTTCAGACCTTCAAGGTCCTAGTGACAAGAACTTTGGACCAAAGTCCTGAAGATTTTTTCTAACATGACTTTACACCTTCAAATCCCATAATTTCGGAGATTAAAAGTCCAAAGTAAACTTATGGAGGACCACCCTGACCATTCTTTTTCACTAAACTTGTTTTTGGCTCCCAATTTTTACCAATTCATATCATGTATCAGTATCATGTCCATTCATAACTCGCCATCACATGTATAGTGAACCATGATTAAAAAAAATCCACATAACTTGGAAGAAAGTAAAAAATTGCTGTGTGAAGCGCTCTCTTGAGTTTTAGAAATAGACCTTCAATGTCTGACATCAAGTATTTTAATGTGACTTCAGATTAACAAGATCTAAAGTAGGAATTTTGAAGAAAAAAAAAGAGACCAGTAAATAGAAGAGATAAAATTAGAGAATTTTTATAATAATGAATATTTAAGGCACATGAACGTAAATTTTTCTCATTATTTTTATTTCACTCCTAGGGGTGGTGTGTATTGCCCTGATTATGTGCTGGTCAAACCAGTATCGTTAAATTCGCTTCGCTTTAGATACAGAGGCCGAAGCTTTCGGATTTTAGATCTAGATTGAAGTGAAGCAAAGCTTGTTGCTACTGTTTCGGTCAGATTCAAGTTTGTTTCGGGCCGATTCGGCCGAAGCTAAAATAAAAGTTTTTTATTTATTTTTAAAACATTTCCATTATTTTTAGGGTGCGGTTTGTAAAGAGCCGATGCTCTAAACAATAAAAGTAAAGCGCACCTTTAAATAGTGTCGAGAAATTTGGTTTCAATACTGAAAATCTTTGTGATAGCGTTAAAATATATTTTCATCTTTAGCTTCAAAAATAGTGTAGATCAAGCAGATCTATGAAAGCTTGAAAATTGACGGTCTAAAAACAAGATGCACTATTTCCAAAACTTGAAATCCATCTTTGTCCCTCATGTCCATGCATCTTGATGTCAAGGTCATCAATTTGAGGATATTTGGGCATCAAAACAACCTCTTCTTGTAAAATTTTTAAGGTGCACTCTAATTTGATTATTTAGGGCCATAGCTCTATATAAACATTATTTTTTTCTATATATATATTTTATAGATAAATATCTAATTATTTATATTAAATAAAAAAAGTCCAAAGTCTTCTCTCGGATCGGCCGAAACACCGAATTGCTTCATTTTTATCACCAAAACCGAAAAAGACTATAAAGCGAATATGACAACATTGAGTCAAATTGAAAGACCGCTTATTTGTAGGCTAAACAAGATGACCTGGATGGTCACCACTTTTCTAATTCTAGTCTAAGGCTAGATTAAACTACGACTCCATTTCGTTTACCGAAGTATAATGCTTACGTTTTACATGAGAAGTAGGGGACACTTCAAAACCCTGTCAAAAAGTGTTGTTCTGGTGCTTAAACTTTTTTTGAAATTAATCACCTCAATCTAAAAAATTATGCTTATGATTTAAAAAAACACATGAAAATAAAAAAATAAAATAAAAATTCAAGCCCTAAAACTTGTGTACATTATAACATATTAACTAAATTATCGATTTTCAAGTATTTATTGATTAGCCAGATTTAAAATATTTTTGAAGCTTTAAATTTGATAACTAGAAATGAAATTACACTGTCAGGTCACCACAAGGGTTACTGGCATCAAAACTACTTTTTTTTGGCTGGTTTTGTGGTACGGGTACACTCTCTAAATTAAAGCCTAGGCCTTAGGCTAATCGTACCCTCTAGGTTAGCCTTATCACATGGAGTGTGTCCAACAGTTCCCCTAGTTAAATAATTGCTTAGATATATTATTGTCACATACTCGGGAATTGACATGTGTTTGAAATACTATTAAAAAAAGTAAACTTTATGCATATTAAGCAATGAAGTTATTGATCATCATCATCATCATTATCATCAGAATCTTTTTCCAATTATTTGGGGTCGGCTATGCGAATTATGGTATATCATTCTGCTTTATCAATGGTCATACTCTCAGTGAGCCCATAAATCCTCATATCTTCTCAATGATGCTAACCGATAATTTCATAAAATGTGGGGCCTAAGTTACCACTTTCTTTCACAAATAATGGGTTGAATGATCTACAATAAAGAGTCAAAGACAATTCTAGAAATATCCTTTTCACAACTTTGAGAATTTAGGCCTCTAGATTTAGATATCTTGATGGCCCTACACAGCCTCATCTTTACAAGCATCCATAAACATAGGTGGCACCCTAAAAAATAGGCATATATAAATGCCCCCAATAATATCTCTGATTTTCAATGATAGACTTTAAGCTATCGACGGAACACCGTTGTCGGCGGCAGTTTGCCAATAACTAGAGTTTAAATTGTAAAAAACGCTCATGAATAGTATCACACCAAGCTAGCTTACCACTCTTCTAAAGCAACTTTGAAAGAGCTTTATCCTTAACCCAAAAAATCCAAAGATTTAGGCTCTTGTGTTCGAATGCCCTTAGTTTGATGGGAAATATTGAATTAATGTCAAAATCTTCCATGGGTTTCCAATCTCAAAATCTCATTTCTTTTGCATCACCACCCCCGCCCTCCCCTCCCCCCTTCGGTTCGTGGTATGTTTGATGCACTGACGGTTCGTGGTATGTTTGATGCACTGATGCCCACAGACTGTTGATGCTAACATAGCTATCTTTGAAGCTCAAAAATGTATTTGCAGGTTATTGATTTTCTTCATGTGGCTCAGCCAATTTTGTTAATCTTCAATTTAAGGATGAAATAACATATATAGTCCTTGATGCTTCTAATTTGCATGGATGCCTTGGAAAGACAATGTTTTGAAGTATTAAATTATCTTCCCCAAATAGAAATGCTTCCCTGTTGCTTAAAAGTTTCTTATCCCATAAAGATTGGTCTATTGAAACTTAAACAATGTACCTTGTGAACTCTACTACATTCTAAATGGAGATTGCAGAACTATAGATTCACTCTGAAATTGGGGTCATTAACAAGCCATACATTCGTTCTTACATAGGGACCTGAGAAAACATCTAAAGCATAACATGAGGATTCCTTTATGATGCCCAAAACCCGAAGAATACACAACATTACTATTAAACATGGGGGATGAATATTTTAGTTTAGGTTTTAGAAGGAGGATCTCTCCTTTTCAAGATATCACCATTCAAGCAACATTGAAGGAGCTTGCAGGTGCTCTCGACGAACTTCCTCGCACCCTTGAACCATCTCTTGTCACCAGCTTGTGCCTTGCATATGTACAATTTGCCATCAGACACAGTAGCTATAATCAATTGATGCTTGCCACCCTCATCGCCATCTGCAGTCCTAGTTAGAACTGAAATGCTGTAATATTTCTTTCCATCAATCTCAGGGGTTGCGGTTTCCAAGATGTTTGCAGTGGCCACAGCATCGGGCTCGAATCCACCCTAGTGTGCAAATTTTCATGAGCAATTGCGCAAAAATGAGAATAAGATCGAGTGATTTAATGAAAACTTCAACAATCAAAACTAACTCCATAAGCCAATTGCACAAAACTAAGAATAAAATTAAGAATACGGTTGATGTTTTCAAGCATCAATACTTACCTCTGCATCAGTTTTGCCAAAATTCTGTTTCCCAAGCAAATAATCAACCTGCAAGGGGCCATCAAAGGTTAGTTTACATGGTCAGGCAAAGATAAGGCTAATGTGCTTGATTGGTATGCGCCCATAAACTTGAACAAGTCCTTATTTCTACAACAAATAATGAGCATACTAAACAGTCTATGTTTTCCGAACTCGCTTATGACAACTCTTAAAAGTAATTGATAAAATAAAGATAAATAGAGAAAATGGAAGCTAATATGCTTTCGGCAACATTGGAGGGCGAGCAATACTTGTTTTAGCGGCTCATCGGAATACAAGTATCGCATATCACAGACAAGACATACATGCATTATTTAAAAAAAGAACAGTTTGAATTTTAGGTGACATTATACTTGTATAATGATGACTTATATTCAAATTAGACCGTTGTTGGAAAAACCGGGCGATCTAACCGCTAACCGTCCGGTTAGATCGGAACCGGCTAGTTCCGGTTTTGGCCTGTTTTGGTGATCGACCAGTAATTTTTTTAAAAAATAAAAAATACATATATAAATTCCCCAAAAATAAGAAATTTGGTTTGTAATACATTTTTTAATATTTTTTATATTATGACAAAGATTAAAAATTGTTTTGGTTATTAATACTCACTTTAATTCGATAATCGATAATCGATATGTTAAAATCCATCTTTTTTCATTAATTTTCATATGCATTTGAATGTGTTTTGTTTTAATCATTCTTTAGTAGATTGTTTTTTTGGGAAAAGTTTACATAGAGCCTAGGCTCTAAACAATCAAATTAGAGCCTACCTCAAAACGTTCACTAAAAGAGGTTGTTTTGATGTCCAAATATTATCAAATTGATCATCTGGACATCAAGATACATGGACAATTGAAAACCATGGATTTCAAGTTTTGGAAATAATCCATCTTGTAATGCCTTTTTAGACAGTCAATTTTCAAGGTTTTCAAGTTTTCTTAAATCTGCTTGATTTACACTATTTTTTAAGCTTTAAATTTTATAACCAAAGATAAAAATATAATTTAATTTAAGGTTATCACAAAACTTTCTAGTATTGAGACCTTATTTCTGGACACTATTTGAAGGTGGGCTCTAATTTGATGGTTTAGAGCCTCCGCTCTATACAAACCGTAATTTTTTTTTTTGTATCTTTTTATTTTTTCAACATTTTTTTGACTTGACTGACCGACTTGCCCGATTAGAACGGTTGAATTGACCGGTTTACCGGTTAACTAAGCTAGTTAAACCGCTTCCGGGCCATGTTCGATTAACCGTTCAGGTTCGATTTTGCGAACATTGTATTAAACACATCATGTTGACCTTAGTGTCTCGGCACCCCTATATAAACTATGGACATGCATGTCCATGATACATATATGCTGTGTGTAATCCAAGTGTAAGTGTCAAAAAGGAACATAGAGAAAGAGGTAGAAAGATGAGACAGAGACAGAAATCAATACTAATAAAAAGTTTTTGGGATGGTATCTTATCTATGTTATAAAGAGATCACAATTAGTCCTGGCTATGAGCTTGCGGCTCATCACGTAATTTCACAATCTTTTTTTTGAACTTTAAATGACGCTCTTACTTGGAAATGATTGGAAATCTAAAAGACAAGAGTATATATGTAACTTCCTTAAATGGTGTATACTTTCCTAAAAGTTTCAAGGTATACAGAGAGAGAGGGGCTTGGAAGTAGTTACTTGGGCGAGGAATTCTTCAGGAGATCCATATTCAGTGATGGTCTTCTTGCTGTTTGGGGTGACCATGACGCTGACGTAGCTGTTCGGGTCGAAGTTGTCTTCGTATCTGAGTACCTGGCCCGGGAACTCCACCTCCTTGCTGGGGTTCCACTTTGCGGGGATCAACAGCTTGAATCCATCTCCATTATACGGCAAGAAGTCTGTGTTTGTCTTCGGCTTCCCGAACACGTTCGCTGCACACACAACAAACACATGCCATGGGCAACCCAACTTCAGAATTCAAGTTCTCTTGAGCCCAATTTCTAAGTTTCTCTCTATGAAAGACACCACAATTTGAACCATCGCTCTCTCTAGGTTCATTCATTGCTTACCAGCTTCTCCATAGGCAGCATCAGCAGGGGACACCTTGGTGCTCACCGCCGCCGTGCCCACCAGCACAGTGAGCGCCAACCTGCGCGACACGGTCAAGGCCTGAGCCTCCTCAGTGTCTTGCTGTTTCTGAGCCCTGCACACCACCAACTGGCCCACCTTGGCGGCCACGCGGTGCGATGGGCTAGCCCTCGGGTGCGCAGATGGCGCGGGGTGGCGCAAGAAACAGGCGGTGGAAGAAGCCATTGATGGTGTTTGTTTTGTGCGGAGAAGATGGAGGGGGTGTGTGTGTTTTTTGATTTTGGAGGTGAGGAAATGGATTGGATTTGGGCAGTGGATGAAGAGGAGAGACGGGATTTGATGGATAAGGTACTGGGGGTTGTGATTGGGCCAGCGTGGACATGGTGCTCCACTTTCTTCTGCAATCACCTTACAGTCTATTTGGGTAGGAAAAGATTTGATGGTCTGGCGGTCCACCGTTATTTACATTTTACTCACCCTAGGGTCAATTGGGAAAATATAGAATGAGTGAATTGCATTCATTTTATTAGGGCATGTGTAGGATGATAGTTATTATTATCTAGAATATATCATCTTATCTTAAATTAATATGGGTGCGGTTTTTATATGGCCGACCGAGGCTTTAAACACATCAAAGAATCAAAGCAAAGCACACTTTCAAATAGTATCGAGAAATGTGGTTTCAATACTGAAAATCTTTGTGATAGCCTTAAAATATATCTTCATTACGGATTATAAAATTTAAAGCTTCAAAAATAGTGTAAGTCGAGCATACCTATGAAAACTTGAAAATCTTGAAAATTGACGGTCTAAAAATGCATTACAAGATGCACTATTTTCAAAACCTAAAATTCATTTTTTACTCATGTCCATGCATCTTGATGCCAAGACAATCAATTTGAGGATCTTTCAGCATCAAAACAACCTCTTCTAATGAAAATTTTGAGGTGTGCTCTAATTCGATTGTTTAGAGCCTCGGCTTTATATATATCATATAATTAATATACTCTTGAATAATATTATATTGCTAGCTATCTGGTATGTACCTTGTAGTATATATAATATAGTTTAATTACCTAACAGTTTTGGTAATTTTCAACCATAGTTGGGCTAAAAATAAGTGATTTCCATCAAGTTATTTTAAATAAAATAAAATAAATTTTTTTAAAAAATTAAATTTATATGTTCAACTCCCCATAAGTTTATCTTCAATAACTTTATAAAGAACATTATCAAACTCCAAATTTATTAAAACAATGAATTATCGATGATTGAGTACATCAAAACATGCCCTCCCTCAGCCTAACAAAAGTTTTGATGGAGTTCACGACCACGTATTCACCTTTCTCGATCAAAAAATGTAGTGCTTCCATTATATGTCGCCCCATATACATTTTACAGGCATTGACTATTTGGAGCTCAATCTTTCTCCATTCCCATGGTTAACAATATCCACTTTTATGCCACTTAAAAGTGGATATGGAGAGCAAATTGCATGCTTGCTCCCTCGGTAAAAATCCCCCATTAGGACTAATTTTCAGATCTCAAATTTTGGCGATGCAATTTAGTCAAGATCATCATTAAAAATATGGGAAGAATATAATGAGAGCATTTACCTTCGATGCAAGGCGGTCATAATTAATCTTGATCATTGAATGTGAAATTGGGTGGCTGCATTTATTTCACTATCAAGTTCAAAGTTCAAAAAGAATTTTTTCGAACTTTGTGACACACCCAAGCTATTAGATTTCATATCGGATGGTTTATAAGTAAAGACAATGATTTCATATAACTGTCGTATAGTACTATAATGCAACAACCTTAAAAAATCATCTGATGGCATCTAATGAACAATCAGAAAAAAAGAACAAATTGAAAACACAATTTAAACAATTTTTTTTGAGCCCAATTAACATAGGCCGTTCATTTTGGTGAGATACTTAGATCTAGGCCTTAGAAGGATTTTTTTCATTTCCAATTTTTTTGGATGGCTTTATTATCATTAGATGAACATTGTTAAAAAAGAAAAAAATGATTTTGAGTTTATAAAGGCTAAGATATTGAAATTCACAAAATGAACGGTCTAGATTCGTTTTTGGAGGGGACTCATTTTGACCATATTTAGGGTTCAAATTGAACTTTTTTTTTTAGGAGTATTGATTATTGAGATGAAGAGAATGTGTGTGTAAAATTTGGGGTCATACAAACACCACAAACATGGTTTTCTAGAAGTGTCGTTGCATTATACTATGATACAACCGTTGCATTGGATCATTGTTCTATAAGTAATTATGACCTCCCTATACCAAAGGCAAATGATCTCACTGTATACAATCCCTAAAAACATTGGACACTATGAGACTACCATAAAAAATAAAAAAATAAACCCAGGATTAAACATCATGCATCAACTTTTCGGGACATTCAATATACGTGCTTAGGTACTCAAAATCTTTGTTTTATAAATTGAAATTATTCATCTAGTGTTTTGGAAGGGAATACCAAGATTAAGAAGAAACAAAAAAATCCTTCTATATTGTCCTTCTGCCAAAAGGAGCAAGTGTTTAATTTACTTTCATGGTAAGATGGTGTACATGCACATCGAAAAACTCTCCTCACAATGTGATGTAGGGACTTCAAAAAGAAACTTCTAAGCAAAACACAAGCACACATTGAAGGAGACCTGGGTTTCCTTTCCAAAACCCTAATAGGGCTAGCTCCCTTTTTTTCTTTCCTAAAACCATGACTTTGGGCCTTTCACAAACCTTATTTTAACTGGGCTACAAAAGTCCAAAAAGAACCCTGTTCCTCCATATAAAACTACACAATCCTTTATGAAGAGAGAAAAGAGTAGATTTAAACTGGTTTAAATGGTTTTCTAAATCAACTTAATTAGTTGAGGATTTTTGCGAACTAATCATGAAATTCATTGCTTTCGCGTCCAAACTAGCCATGAAATCCATTGATTTCGTGTCTTATCAATACACAAGCTTAAATGGAGCTTTCCCTCAATTTATCCATGAGTTTGGAACGATTTCAAATTAGTTCTATTTCAAATTTCCTGCCAAAACTCACTAGTAGTAATTAAAACATGGAACTGCCCTTGGCAGTCTTTGACCATGGTTATGCCCGAGAGCTTGCGCTTTGGCTGCAGCTACTCACTCCAAACCGCTTTGTACTTCTATTTCACAGAAGTTCGACATGAGTCAATACTTCCACCCACTCCCACATGCTCCACCATTTTTCATCTGAGGACAACAGTGAATTTCGAATTCTATATTTCAAATTGAAAAGATAGGGGATACTATGGTGGGACTTCTTTACAGTATCTCTGGTTATTCATCACCTGTTGCTGTACTGCATACAATACGATGACTTACTGCATGGGCTTGTGACAATGAAAAAATGCCAGAGCATAGACAGGGAACTGATGGGGCAAGACTTTTTGAGGGGCAAGGGATTAGGGAAGTTGCATTGGGTAATGGCAATCAGTCAATGACTTCCTACTGTCGAGTTATTATCAGCGAAGCTTGGTTGGGATGGTGATGGAGTCTTTCTCTTCTCTTTATTGGCTTTTTCTATAGATTACAATTGACTTATTGTATATCTTTTCCCAAATTTTGTGCAATGGACATTTTTCAGTCTCTAGGCTAACTATTGCTTGAAACTATGGATCCTCCAACACAAAAGGATGACAACAGACAGTTTCCCTCACGGAATCCAGTCAAACTAGGAGAAAAGTACATTACATACATTATCCTTATCTGGAAACCAGAGATATGGAACATTGGAAAAGATCACCGTCTCTTTTCTTTTTCTTTGTCCAGGATTTTTACAGAAGAGCCACATACTTTAGAAAATAGCCTGTGTCTCTAAACTGTGGAAGTCGGCAACAGTCACCATGTTCATTTCCAATGATCCATCAACAATCATTTCCATGTTACAATCTTTGGTGCCAAAAATTCATCAAATTGTCGACATAAATGGAGATTTACAATTGAAGCATCTTATTCGAAATAATAAGATTGAATCTCTATGATACATCGGCTCAAACAACTCTAAACCTAACAAGATGAAAATATGCATTTCTTTCTTGGACCCCAGATATCCATATCTTCCCAAACTCACCAAAGGAATTCAGAGAAACATCTTTTCTCCTAGTACATTAGGTTATTTGAGAAGGGATACCACCAAATGGACCTCACTCAAGCTCCATGACCTTTAGTCCAATGTGGATGGTGGAGAGATCCAGTATGTTCCAGGTTAAGCATTTAAAATGTCCAAAAAAAGAACAACCTGAGCCCACTCAAGCTCCATGACATTTAGTCCAATGTGGATGGTGGAGAGATCCAGTATGTTCCCGGTTAAGCATTTAAAATGTACCAAATTAGAACAACCTAACCTACCATTTTCATAAAGAATTCAGCCTCTTGGCTTGGAGGTATAAATGCCACAACATATTCTCCATGGTTCCAAACCCAGTTTACCAACAATATCGTGGTCCAAGATAGCCATGCCCCTGAGTACCTGAGGTAAACAGAGATTCTCAAAGCTCTCCAACTCTCATCACTTTACTCAAACCAACTAAAACAACATGTATATCAGGGGCTTGTGGGTGAGTTTCTTCACCAGCAAGAAACCTATGGACTGTACCAGTGATCTCAATCCAGCTGACCCCTGGTTCCTTAACCATGCACCTCTCTCTCATCTCTTCCCTCACAAAACCCACATCTCCCCATCTCCCTGCCTCTGCATAAACATTGGAAAGCAATATATAGATCCCAGGATTACTTGATCCTAATTTCCGAAGCCTCTCTGCAACAAGCAAACCAAGCTCTAAATTCCCATGGTTCCTACAAGCCCCAAGCAACGAGGCCCATGTGCTATCCTCAGGCTCAAAAGGCATGAGCCTTATTAGCGCATAGGCATCTGTAAGCCACCCAGCTCTGCCCAATGCATCGATCACACACCCATAGTGTTCAGTCCTTGGCTCAAGGCCCTCCTCTGTCCTCATTAACTCAAAGTAATGTAATCCCTCATCAACCAAACCTGCATGACCACACGCAAATAACACACCTAAGAAAGTTGAGTGATTGGGCTTGATAGAACCCATCAATTTCATCTTACTGTAAATTTTCAAGGCTGACTTGCCATGTCCATTATATGCAAGACCCGAAATCATTGTATTCCAGGACACGAGATCGGGGTTTGACATGTAATTAAAGACTTCGGAGGCGTGATCGATGCACCCACACTTGAAATACATGTCTATGAGAGAACTTCCTGCATAAATATTGGAGGATAGCCCCATTGAAATTGCTTGCTTATGAATCTGCTTACCCATGCCCAAGACTGCTAAGCTCCCACAAGCGCTAAGAGCACTAGTGACTGTCGAAGAATTCCATTTCATGCCTGCACAATGCATCTGATTAAGCATGATCAAGGCTTCCAAGGGCAACCCATTTTGCTCGTACCCCGAAATCATAGCATTCCATGTTATAGTTCCTTTTTCTTGCAACCCATCAAAAAGCAATTTACCCTCTTCAACTTTTCCAACAGAAAAATAACTAGAAATCATATTTGTAGTCGAAAGGAAGTTTTGAAAGGGCATTTCATTGAAAAGTAGTCTTGCTTCTTCAATGAGGCCACTTTTTGCTAAAACCCCAATCATTGTATTCCAAGAAATTGTGTTCTTCTCCGGCATTTCATGAAAGATCTCCCAAGCCTCATCAATTTTGCTTTCTCGAGCATAGCCCGAGAGCATCGAATTATATGAGATGACCGACTTTCCTGGCATTTCATCAAACAACCGCCGAGCTTCACACACCAACCCAGAGCGCATATACCCCGATACCATCGCAGTCCATGAGACCTCGTTCCTCTCAGGCATCTCATCAAATAGCCTTCTCGCCTCATCGACCTGACCACTGTCACAATACATTCCAATCATAACGGTCCACGACACCACATTCCGCTCCGGCATCTTGTCAAATAATCGGCGAGCCTCGAGTACACATTTGGCAGAGGCATAGGCCTGAAGCATGATAGTCCATGACACCACATCACGACATGGCATGCTCTCAAACAGGGTATCGGCATCATGGAACATGGAGTGGCGCACGTAACATGAGAGCATGGAGTTCCAAGTGATTTGGTTTCTTTGAGGCATTTCATCAAACAATTTGCGCGCATCAGCAACCATAGAGTGCAACGCAAAGGCATTAAGGAGTGTGGTCCATGTGACCACGTCTTTAATGGGCATTTTGTCTGCAACACCGCGCGCATCGTCAATTCGACCGGATCGAGCATGAAGTGCAATAAGGTGGTTGCCATGGCGCAGGGATAAGAGAGAAGGGCTTCTAGGGTTGTCAGAGAAGGCGTTTGTAGAAAGATAAAGTGAGGGTTGGATTGTGGATTGAGGGTTTTTGGGAATGTAGGGGTCGTGAGAATGGGAAATTGTTGAGAAAGAAAGTAGTGGTTGGGTTATGAAGAAGGGGATTTTGGGTATAAAAGAGACGACCCATTTGAAATTGTAGGGTTCTATGATCATTATAATACAGAGAAGGGGAGTTTTGTGGAGCTGAGAGATTCATCATAGGTCCGTAACACAAATATTTTCTCTCTACTTCTCTCTCTGCCCTCTTTCATCAGCCACTTCATGATCTCTCGAAGACGCGAACCTTAGATTTTGGACCTGTGTCAGCAAAATCGAATCCGAACGGTTAATCGGACATGGGCAAGAAACGGTTTAACCGGCTTAACTGGTAAACCGGCCGATTCAACTGTTCTAACCAGACAAGAGACCAAAAAATTGTTGAAAAAAAAAAAAATGCAAAAAAATATCTACTAAAATATGAAAAACATATAAAGAATGATTAAAGCAAAACATATTCAAATGAAGTTGAAAATTAATAAAAAATAAATTTTAAAAGTGAATATTAATGACCAAAACAATTTTTAATATTTATCATAATGTAAAAAATATTAAAAAATAAAGTAAAAATCTAATTCTTTATTTTGGAAATTTTATAGATTTTTTTTTTTGAATTTTTATTTTTAAAATACAGGCCGATCACCAAAACCGCCCCAAATCGGAACCTGCAAAGGGTCGGTTTTGATCTAACCAGGCGATTACCGGTTAGATCGGGCAGTTTTTCAAATAATTTTTTGGACTTAGTATTCTTGTTTTATGAGACTTGAGTATTGGATATAGAATATACGTGATTATTTTTAAATTTTAAAAATAAGGAAAAATTATGTATACCCTGGACCATCATGGTCTCTTCGATACTTTTAAACTATACATCTAATATAATCATATTATTTATTTTTGCAGCCACATCCAAAGAAGAAAATATTTTTATTTTGGACAAAAATACCCCAAACTTACAATTCTCTCTTCAAAGGGAGAGAGAAACTATCTCAAATATTTTACAATACCAAATATTTTACTATCTCAAAAATTTTATAGAGAAAAACTATCTTGAATTTCATGTTTTTGGGATAAATAAACATCTTATAAACAGACTATTTCAATTTTTTAGAGAGAGAATTATGGGTTTACATTGAGGATATTTTCATCTAAAACAAAAATATCCTTTTTCTTAATGTTAAATAAAAATATTTTCTTCGTTGGGTGGGCTGCAAAAATAAAATAGATGGTTGTTTGAGCATTGGTTTAAAAAGTGCTTAAGGTAAATAGTCTAGGGGATTATATGGATACATTAAGACCCTAGCCATGAAACAAGGATGCTGCAATTTGAATTAATAATTAGCTAATAGTTTTTAGTTTTTTCACGTGTTATTATGACAACCTTGGATTGGAGTATAAGAAATTTTATATGAAAACATCAAGACTTTAGTGTTTAGTGTGTGGGTTCCAAACTCAGGTACATAGAGCTTTAGAACATAAAAAGAAACCTCTATGTTTTTTGTATTTTGAGGACAAATTGTCCTTATGCACATCAAATACAATATCAAAAGGACACAAATATCGTATTGAGAAAGCGCTCCTGCGTGCCAAAAAAAAACGCATCTTTTGCCCTATTTCACCCCACCTTTTTCCAACAAGCAAGGCCTCATATAATTTGTTTAGATGCGAGGTAGTCTTGTATGACCACATTGCCCTATTGTATGTCTGGTTTGATGGGACATTGATGTAGATCAAAGATTTGGATGATACAAGATTTTTATTTTATTTTTATTAATTTTATTTTTAGAGATGTGGGTAAACTTTTTTTTTATTAGGATTAAATGTTAAAAATAGGACTTTTAAGTTAGTTTGATAAAGTCTACTGTTTTAGAGAAATGCATTTTTTTATAAGTATAAATCTTTTATTTTTGTCGATCGGTTTTCTTCTTTCTTTTGCATTTTGCATGAATTTTTTTAAGAAATTTTTGTTTATTAGGGCATTTTGCATGAGTTGTTTTTTTTATGAAACTTTTGTTTCTTAGGGAATCTTTTTTGTAGAGTTATCTTATGAAAAGGAAGTTTATTTTTTAAGAATTAGAAAGGAGGTTTAGAAGGAGAAGGGACTTAGTACGTTATAAAAATTGTTTGAGTTGCTTTTTTTTAGGAAAGTTTTGTTTCTTAGAGTATTTTTTCTTTTGTAAGGTTGACTTATCCTTTTTTTTTTTTGTAAGGTTTAACTTGGAATAAATATTAAGAGTTGTCTAGTTGGAAGAAAGTTTTATCTTTTAAGAATTAGAAAGGAGGTTTAGAAGGAGAATGGAATTACGAAGTTGTAAGCTAACCAATCAAACCCAAGCCTTTTTCCTAACTGGATGAACTTCTACAGAAAGAAGGACGTCCTTTGTATGAGTTGTTTTTTAGGAAAGTTTTGTTTCTCAAGTACCTTTTTCTTTTGTGAGGTTGACTTATCCTTTTTTTTAGTATGTTTAACTTAGGAATAAATATTGGTAAAGTTTTGTTTCACAGGATATGTTTTTCTTTTGTGAGGTTGACTTACCCTTTTCTTTAGCATGTTTCACTTAGAATAAATCTTTTACTTTGCTTTACTTGAAATAAATATTAAGAGCTATCTTAAGGGGCTAGGGTCGTGGTGTAGCACCCTCACATTATAGTCACCACATGGTGTTTTCATTCCTACCTATGCCACCCCATTAACATTTTATAAAAAAAATTAAATCTTAAACTATTTTAAAAATTGGTAGAGGCTAGTCTTCCTCATTGAATTAACAAAAAATAAAAAAATAAGGAGAAGGGGACGGTGTATAAAAGGGAAGAAACTCTACAAAAAGAAGGGATGTCCATTGTACTAGGGAATCTTGACGAATAATGTTTTGATGTTGTTTTTCACATAACGTATGGAGAGAGAGTTAGATAGAGAATGACAAGATGCGTCTCTTATTTACTTTTGATGGTGAGTGAGGAAGTCTCGACTCCCTTTGTTTGTGCTTCCTTTTGCTATTTTTTTCGTAGTTTTTTGTTTCTCTCTAAAACACAACTATATTTGTTGGATATTGGCAGCTGGTAATTTTCAGCTACGTTAGACACCAAGAACATTTTTTAAATGAATTCATTCACCTTGTGATCATTTTTTAAAAAATAATTTTGATTTCTAAGAACCTTAGGATGTATGTTAATCACTTAATCATGACACATAAAATAATTTAGAGCATTTTTTTTTAAAAAAAATATCTCCATATCTTTTATGTTTAAGTTTCATTTTTTGATAAACCCAAGGTTTCAAAAAATATCTTCTAACCCTATGGTCACTTTAAACTTATGTTTTAACCTAAACAAATGTGAGAAATACATGTTATTCTAAACCCAATCATTTCTCTCTCTTCACTTATATACCCCAAATTTCTCTCTTTCTCTCTCTTCCTACGTCTCTCTCAATCTCTCCTTCCTTTCATATTTCTCCAAACACCTTTCCCTCTCCTCCCGTTAACCTCTCACCTCTATGAAGTCCTTCTCTTTCTTGAGAAATTTAGGAGGATAGCTTTTATTGAGAAAATATGTCTTTTTAGATTTATTTAGCCTAAAAAAACAGGTTTAAATTAGATCAGGGGGTTAGAAGAAATAAAATATACAATTTTAATACCCCAAAGTATCTTTTAAAACCTTAGATCTATTATGAAATGAAACTTAAAAATAAAAGGTATGGAGATATTTTCTCTTTTTTTAAAATCCAAATCATTTTCTTCTTGTCGATCTTGGAGATGAATAGAAATGATTGGAGAGTATTGGGGCAAACCAATCCCTTCATGGTGTCTGGGGTGCAAGACTCGTGTAATGTTGGAGAGAGGGATGTAGGGTTTATGTGGCCTTTGAAGGCCTTATGAGTGTCTATTGAAACATTTTTATTATAGGGAAACATAAACTCAGTGGGAGTGTGATCCCTCGAGGACCATACTAAGCACATGATGTTTGCCTATATCGGACTGTGCTCATCGATCTAGGCCAGTCGGTTAGAAAACCCAACGTACTTGGGCATAAAGAATAAAACCGAGGAGGGTTTTAGGTTAGCCCTTGTGAGGTTGGAGCTTATGCCTAGATGAGTGAGTCGTTGTGTCTGATGGTAGGCCTACTGAGACGAAGGCCAAAATATCATCTATGTTCCATCACACGGCATGCATATCGATAGATCGTTCAGAAAAGCTAGATATCCACCTTTGGGTGAAGCGTATACATGTGCGAGAAATACCCTTATGCACCATAGAGCTGTGGTCACATCAGATCGTAGTGACTTTGACTCGTCTCTAGGGGAGGACCTATAATCCACAGATTGGGATTGCGATCCCTTGATTCATCAACCTGACTTTGGTGACCCGCTAATGAGCCTTTGCTTGGACTATGGGTCATGGGAAACACTGGGTCGGTTCGATAAAGCTAATGTGATATGTAGTCCACAGTTGAATGTGAAGTACCCCATTATTACAGATTGAATTCCTAAAACCATGTGGATCATTTTCTCATCATATTAATTTAATTGTATTTATTTTATTATTGAAATGTTTTTAGCTTTATTATTTGAATTGTTTTTAATCTCTCGATATTTTATTTATGTTTTTTGGACTTATAAAAATACAATTATTGATTTTACAATATTATAAAAATTCATATATTAAATTGTTTAATTTTAAAATTATTTATAAAATTCCA